CCCTGCTCGGCAGGGAGTCTGCTTCTCCCTCTGACCCTCTGCCCTCTCATGTGCTCTCTCTCATTCTCTCTCTCTCAAATAAATAAATAAAATCTTAAAAAAAAAAAAAACAACTCCCAACCCAACTATAGCATATTACACCGATCACAGAATTCTCCAGGAAAAATGTATTAAATGTGGAAAATTTAACTTTATATTTTATTGTCATAAAATTAACCAAAGAAAAAAATAAATAAAATTAACTAAAGAAAAGCTCAATATTCACCTGGTCTACATCCATAAAAGTAACACTCCAGAAAGACACGAATTGCCAATTCCAGACCTCCTATGCTAGGAGCATTAGACATGACTGTAACCAACACATTTTAGGGTAATTTCTCTTTCTGTATCTCTCTTCTCCAAAAATGTGACTTTGTTCCTCATTGGCCACAGCTAATTCAAACACAGCAAGTAGATTATCAGCTGGGCCGGGTCAACCAGACTCTTTCTGGGGACTTTGGAATCAGGACAAGTCATTCTGGTGAGGTTCTGAGAATGCCTGAACAGGGTGGACATGTAAGGGGGCAAGCACGTTGGTGTCATGTGACCAACCTATTACAGAAAGCTGGTAAAGAGGAAAACAAAGGGCAAACGGCTCTGGGCTATGCGATAGGAAACCATGAGCTGAGGGAAGTATTGTGACAGGAAGAGGAAGGAGTGGAAACGGCTCACCAGGAGCCAACTGGCCTTGGCATCTGCCACCTTTTCGGGGCTGAGTGCCTTGGCTACACTTTATGCCCTTGGGTTCTATGACCTTCTTTCACTGAATGAGTTTGTCTGGGTGTGTCTGTGACTTGTAACTCAAAGAACCCTGACTAGAAACAATCTTCTCATTTTAATCCTTAAAACCTACATTTGGAGAGGTCAGGAGACCTGCCCAAAGTTCCACAACTGGCCAGTGACAGGTTCCACGTTCATGCTCGGTTCTTTACTCGGGCTGTTCCAGCAAGTCTTTTACTTTCAGACCACATAAGAATAATAGAAATTTGCTAGAGACCTTGATTTTTAGGAGACCCTTTCCCCTTTAATCAGTGAAAATTATAGATAGGACCCAATGCACTTACCTGGACCAGTTCTACAGCCGTGGAAGAAAAATCACAACAGTAAACAAAAAGTCCCGGATCACTGAAATGGGCAGAAAAAACAGTAGAACAATTAAGACTGTAAACTGAATTATGTCCGTTCTCTTTCCTGTGTAGCAAACTTAAAATATCAAAGGTCCCATATATTGGCAGTGGAACAGGTTTTGGAGCTCACCAATTTTCCTGATGACAAAGATAACATAGAAATTGACATCTTGTCACCCATGGTTCCCAATAACCATTATTACCAGTTTGTTGAAGTAAGTTTTGAGAAACAACACACCCCCTTCTCCTCTTTGCTATCCTATAGTTAAAGTTTACAACACACTTACTTGTTAGTTTGTAAAATCGGAAAGACTGTGTTTCCCACACCACAACCAACCTGCGGACAGAAAAGAACTTTTAGTTACAGGACTTTCAAGGAATCAATTCCCTAGAGCTAGATAAATAATCAACAATAATCTTGCTTACTTGTAGGGAAGGTGCAATGACCAGAGCTAAATAGTAGCCACGACATTCCCCAACCTTGACCTCAGGAAGTCTAAAAGAGGTAGCCATAAAAGACAAGAGCATTGGATTCTCGACAGCAGAAGGAAGCTGGTGTGGAAAAAAGGGCATGGATTGCTTTTACTTTTTGAGTTTTAGCAAATGGTCCTATAGATGAAATGTTTTTTTTCTCATTAATACAGTACTTAAATTTGTCTTCCCTCTGTCAAACCCTGAGCCAACCACTTTTCCTAGGCTGCCTGAGGAGGTATAGGAAAAGGAACATACAGGGCAGACGAGACACGGGAGAAAGACCTATGGGAGGTGGAGACAGCTCCTGCCCATGACAAAGAGGATGAGAAAGGCCACCATCAACCAAAAGAGAGAGCAGAGCCCAGAATGGCATAGAAGAGTTGTTGCTTCAGAGAGGGGGGGGATTCCTGGCATGACCAGTGATGAGGCTCCCAAACACAGTCCCAATTCCTGCCCCAGAGCCAGCCACACCGACGGCGGCAGCCCCAGCCCCGGTGAACTTGGCTGTGTCGATATCCCTTGAAATGGGACTGGTTCGGAAGCTGCAGCTAGTAATAAGTGAGGGGAGGGGCCGTGGGGCTGCCAAGCTGCGGAGGCTCTCAGCTGTCACGTCTCGGGTGGTTTTAGCATCGCTGCAGTTATCGGCTCAACAGCTGGGAGGGGCTCCTGACCGAGCAGGGGGTGGAGACGAACTCTGCACAGGTGCACATTTTCAGGGGATAAGGGGCTGTAGCAGGAGAGCTGCTCCCGTGCAGGGAAGACAGGGCAGATGAAATAGTCTCTTACTGAACTGCACTGTATCATTATTGGAAACCTGCAGAAAAATTCATGAAAAGGGGACCATGGATTCCACTGTCCTAAACATGGTGCTGGGTGTGCTAATAACAGTGACCCTTTGGGGTTGGGCGTCTGACTCTTGGTTTCGGCTCAGGCCATGATCTCGGGGTCAAGGGATCAAGCTCTGCGTCAGGCTCTGTGCTCAGTGCAGAGTCGGCTAGAGATTACCTCCCTTTCCCTAGCCCTCTGCTCCTCCCCTTGCTCTCACATGCGCGCCCTCCCTAAAATAATAAATTAAAAACAAAATAAAAAAAATCCCCAAACCCAAAAAAAGACAGTGACCATTTACTAAGGGCTTGCTACATGCCAGGCACTGTTTTTAGCCATTTTACGTCGTTATCTCAATATATGTCATTCTCATAACTACCATGAGGCAAACAGAGAGGCAGAAGTCCCCTTCTGCTTGGGGAGGGGAAGGGACTAGTAACAAGGTCAGGCTGGAGGACTCAACCCCAAGGCTAATCAGCTTCCAGCGGAGTATACAGTCACCGCTTCTCAATCTGCATTACAGTACCCACCTAGACACGTTTCCGGGGGTAGTCTTGCCTCCGCAACACCACCCAAACTAGGAAGACAAGAACTCTCCCATGCCTGAGAAGCAGGCACCATCGCGACTGACTTCCCCCCACCCCACCCCCATCTAATGTTACAAGAGAAGTAAAAGAATTTGTCCTGTGACTTGGGACTCTTGCAGGTGGCAGGTACAGCAGATCCTACAATGTGCAGAGGCAATGGGATGTCCCCAGGTAGCACCTCAGGTGATCTCTTTCTTTGCCACGACCACCGGATTATCTGGTCTGAATTTAGGACATGTCATTAGTTCAAAAATGGAGGTTTTCTAGGCCAACATAAGAGTCAAGTCTAGTCAGCTTCTTCAGACATAATCACTTCTGCGGTCAGCCTCTCGGTGCCACCCATGTGTATAGTAAAACAGCCCCGTTAACCCCACTCTCAGGACAACTGAGGGGGGTTACCTCGAGTATTCTGTAGGTGGCCGAGGATCCAGGGAACTCATCAGCACAGATTTCCAGGCGGCTGAGTTTCTGAGTTACATCTCCTTCCACAGGAGGCATCTGTGTTTTATGTCCAAGGCTATCTGAAGAACACATGTGCTGTTCTTCTGTCTTTAAACCAGGTCCGTCCTCCTTGCTCCTACCTTCAGGTACTTCACTCCTCTTGTTCTCTGAGAGCCAATCATTAAAGTCATTTTGGTCCGCGCTAGGTGCCAACTCTGGGAATTCAGTGAAAAGCCAATGTCTATCCTTGAAAAACCTGTTTTCGTGGATTTTGTAGAACTCATTCCAGTATTTGTGGGCATTGACTTCATAATCAACTGTAAATATTAAAGAATTAAGAAAACTCTCAATCTCTCAATATTTTATGTGTCCCTAATGTCAAATGTCATCCTGCTTCACCAAATGTTACTTTATACTAAAAGTATCCTCAAGTAGAGCTGGAAATCTGGCAGTCCTACCACCTACCCTACCTGAATTCCCTCTGTGTCTTGTCCTTCTAGGGAGGAACTTCTACCAGGGAACTTATTACCAATTCTCCACCTACATCTTCAGGTGGCTCTTAGCTAATTAGAAAATTCTAACATTAAGGAAAAAAAAAATTCTAACATTAAGCAAAAAAATCTGTCTTCTGGTCAAAAAGTCCTACTATTTCTTAAGGCCATACAGAACAATTCTTTTGTATTTAAAGGCAGTTATTTTCCCCTCTAAATCTTCTCTTTTACAGGTGAAATGTCCCAGGTTCTTCAGTCATTCCCTATGTGAACTCAATGGTTAATGACACATACAGCTCTTCTTTAAATATACTCCTCTGTCTGTGGTTCTTTATTGAATGTGGAGCAAAGAAAGAATTCAATACTACTAAAAGATCCTAAAAACGGGACAAAGGCAGGAAAGGAGAAATGCTGACAAGAGGGAAAAATGTCTTCAGATGAGAAGAGTTTTGATGAGAGAGGACAGGAAAGACTTAAGGAGGGTAGACTGTTTCCACTATAGTTTAAGGTGATCAAGGCAGTGGGCAGTACTAGACTACTGTTTTCTGCTCTTTGCCAATATAGGACCTCAACTAGTGTAGTAGAAAAGAAAAAAAAAATCTAAGAAATTGGATTTTAGTTCCACCATTCCTACTACTAACTAACTGCTTACCTCTGGGTAAGGCACTTAATGTCCTGTGGTTCAAGTTTCTTTAACTGTAAAAAGAGGGTATCGGACTATATGATTTTCAAAATCCCTTTCAACTCTAACTTGCTTTGATCTAGTCTCTGTCAAACTATGTAAGGTGAATACTTTGTAACTGGAATCTTCTTACTGTTATAGTGAACTGTGAGATACTACTCTCCCAATTTCTAGTCCTACTTTCAATTGTCATCTAGCACATAGGCTCAGCTAGTCCTAGTATTAGTATCTAGAGATATTTTGCAGTAAAATCATCCACCTCTCCAGAAGAGGTCTCTTTTTCTTTGGCCAGACTTACCTACACTCCTCTTCACCCAGCTTTCCTTGGCAGAAGCCCTAAAATCCTCATAGCCATCACACAAGGAAAAGATACAAAATTCACCAGTCATTAGCTCCCCCCCCCACAATATTTAGAATCTGATCGCTAGAATCTAGCTTCAATGACAACATTTCTTCAGCTAGGGTAATCATATAGACGAGGCACAGCATCCAAGTCGATCACGCGACCAAGCCAGTCGTATTAATATGGGTCTAGTCGACGTACTAAAAATTAATCCCTAGGAAATATATCAAGATACTGTTACTCCCTCTCAAATAAAGCCAAAACCCAAACTCCCTCTTCGCCCTAACAAGATTTTAGGGGGAAGCCCTTTTCCATCCTAACTCAGCCCCTCCCCTCCCGTTCTACCCCGGAGTTCGGGATCAGTCCAGTAACAAAGGCTCTCGGCGGTCTAGGTTTTCCGGCCTCTCCGGGAGAGCGCGTCTAGTAGTACGCTGGCTGCTGATACCACTGAGGGCCCACCTAGGCGCACCTTGCTTCTCCTGGCACACCCGCTGGGTACTGTTCTCCCGGACTTTCCTCTCCGCTGCGGCGGCCTGCTCTTCCGACCACTCCACATTGTCCCTGGGAAAATCAAACGGGCAGCTTAGGGGCCTCAGGTCCCAGCTGCGGGCAGGCTGCGTCGCTGGCCACGCAGCGCCTCTCCCGTGGAAGGAGAGCGCCTCGAGCAGGGCAGCGCGACTCGTGGCCGGCGGTCAGGGGCTTCTCAGAGCGCACGGGGCTGCGGGACAGAGGACAAGCCGGAGGCCGGACGAAGGGTAGGGCAGTTACCAGGCATTATGGTGGAAGACGCGCGCCGGATCGTTCAGGAACCTGCTTCCAAACTGCTGCCTCTTCGCACCGACCACAGCCGGAGCGCGCTCAGGATAGGGGCCGGCCATGACACCGGAGCCGGATATGCCTACTTTTCCGACACGCGAAAACTTCCTGTGGGGCCACTCCCCCTTCCGGAAGTCGCGGGGTCTGGGCGGGAAAAGAGCAAGAAGGGGCGGGGCAGTTCTGAAGCCCCGGTCTGGGTTGGAGCTGGAGCTCCGCCCTATGGGGGCGGGCCCTAAGTTGGGGAAGCGCTCTCGGTGTAAGGAGCGCTCGCCCACAGAATTTCTCTGAGCTGGCTTTTCCTCTCCCTGGAAAAGGGGCCGGTGGCGGTGCAGGCCCGCAGGAAAGTGGGAGACAGGGATCCCTGGGTGGTTCAGTGAGTTAAGCGTCTGCCTTCGGCTCAGGTCATGATCCCAGGGTCCTGGGATCGAGTCCCACATGGAGCTCCCTGCTCAGGGGGGAGCCTGCTTCTGCCTGCTGCTCTCCTTCCTGCTTGTGCTCATGCTCTCTTTCTCACAAATAAGTAAATAAAATCTTAAAAAAGGGGCGCCTGGGTAGCTCAGATGGTTAAGCATCTGCCTTCGGCTCATGTCATGATGCCGGGGTCCTGGGATCGGGCTCCTGGCTCAGCAGAGAGCCTGCTTCTGCCTCTCTCCCTGCTCATGCTCTCTTTCTGTATCTCTCTGTCTCAAATGAATATATATTTTTTAATCTTAAAAAAAAAGAGTGGGAGACATTACGATTGAGTCTCCTTTCTATGCTGGGGTCCTCTAACAGGTTTCCCAGGTTCCCTCAAGTTTTAAGACAGGAAAAATCTTGAATCACTTTGAGAATTAAGGGTGCCTAGTTCCATTTAGACCTGATGGCAGAAGAATTTGAGGAAGATAGCAAGCTGGCTGAGGAAATAAGTAGTTTTCCAGCTTCTGTAGTGGGCTTTTCGTAGTGTGAAAAGCTATGAAAAAGAATAAAAATACTATTTTTCTGGGGAGGGGGATATGGAATGAATTCTGAGAACATGAGGTTAATTTATATAATTATATAATTTTTAAACTATGTTTTTTTTTTTTTTTAAGATTTTGTCAGAGAGAGAGAGAGAGAGCGAGCACACAAGCAGGGGGAGCAGCAGAGGGAGAAGCAGGCTCCCCACCGAGCAGGGAGCTCTAGTCCGCTTGATCCTACTGATCAGAAGGCAGATGCTTAACGCACTGAGCCACCCAGGTGCCCCTATAATTACATAATTTATAACCACCTACTTCTTGGAATTATCCATACCCGAGCTTGTTCACACAATCAGGACTGTAATACAACACATAAAGCTTGTTATTTTAATACATTTTCAGCCTTACATTTCTGTTTCGATAATTACTATAAACTGATTCTCAAAATAATCTAGAAGAAAGTATCCTGTTGATATAAGGTTTAGTTGAGAAGAGTTCCAGGCGAGTAAGGACTACCATTTGGAAGAAGTTAAGGTAACAGTTAATTAGTTATTTAAGTGGTGCAGTACTAGATAGCCCACTGGTAACTAGTGATCATTTACTTCATTGAACATTCTTTCCATAGGCAAAACTGAAGGGAGCTATGAGAGATTCTGTGTCTTTCTCAGAAAAGAAATGGGAACAAGCCTTAAACCTCCCCTAATCACAAAGAAAAATTCGTGAGTGAATCGAAAAAATAAGATAATAAAGAACTTGTACTTTATTCGAAAACACGTTTGCCATTCTCACGGTCTTTTGAAACATTTTGAACAAAACCTCCTTTCCAAAAAACAAGTACAAGGATTTTTATCTTTTCTCAAGGCCAGTTGTTTGATGTAGTGGTTGGTTTATATTTATTCTTGGCATCTTGTTCTCTCTTGCCCATGCTTTTTTCTCCCCACACCAAAAACTATTAACGCTCCTAGTCAGCAGTCCTACCGCATATTTCCTTGCATAGAGCTCACTCTGTTTTCCCCTGAAGTCACTTATTATATTAGTTCCAATAATTAGTCATTGAAAATGTCAAACAACTTGGTCCCTTTTGATGAAATGTGATAAAAGTATCCTAAACTTAATTTCTATACAATTATCTTTGGTTGACCTGTACAACTCATTTTTCTTCATCTTTGGGAGCACCTAAAATCATTTTTCTGAAGAAATTTGGAAGACATGGCTGTGAGTCCTTTGTAGTATCAGACTATATACTGGACTGTAGCTTCAGCAATACTTTTCAGGGGACCTAAGGGTCCCTCTGCTGGTGAGCCTCAAGAGATTTTCTAGCTGGGTGGCATGGTTTCAAAGCCTGGAAAAGTTAACTCTCAGTCTGGATTATTGCCTTGGGTGTCAACCTGGGACATGGGTAGTTAATTATTTCATGCCTTTCTTTCAGTTCCGATCAGTGGAAATTCTGGTCTGTGTAAGCATGTGCTCTGGAACTGAAAGGTGGGGGAAGGGTGTCCTAATTTGTTTCACGGAACATGCAGCAGCCCTAGAGGATTGAATATGCTGGTTTAACAACTTTAAACAGACTTTGTGGTTTTTTTCCTATTGCAAAATAAATATGTGTTTATTGTAGAACATTTAGACAAAAGAAAAAAAGAAACCACCCCATTCCATCCTTAATTTAATCCATTAAACACTTTGGTTTATATCTTTCCAGTCTTTTTTTCTAATTGACTTATAGAAGTAACCTTTACATTAAAATAGTTTCAGAACTGCGTTATCCCCTATTTTTCACAGCTTTATTGAGGTTTAGTTTACATACAATTAAATTCATCCATCTTAAGTGTACAGTTTGATACATTTTCATAAAAATCTATATTTGTGCAACTACCATCAAAATTAGGTTCTAGAACAACTCCGTAAAGTTTTCTCATGGCTCTGAGCAGTTGTAGCCTGTTTTATAAGTTGATAATAGTTTGTGAATATCATTCTCCTGCTTGAATGTTCTTTTCTAACATTGTTTTAATGACCCTGGTATTGTTTTATAGAGCTGTATCATGATTTGCTGGACATTTGGGCTACTTTAAGTTTCTTACTATTAAAAATCCAACATGATAATTATCTTTATAACTAAATCATTTGTATATTCATGATTACTTCTTTAGAAATAATTTCTAGAAGTGGAAGTACTGAGTCAGTGGTTATAATTAGCTGCATTACTCAGCTGTGAGGTCAGGGCATTTTACTGTTCATTCACTGTTACATATCCAAGTCCTAGAACTCGGGCCAGCACACATTATGCAACTCAATAAATAATTGTTGAATGAATGGCTGAATACCTGTTGCTATATTGTATTTCATCTGCAAGATGCCAGTTTCTACTGTCAACCACAGTGTGGGACAGATTGATAGACTGTATTACTATACATTTTAGATTTTCCAGAACAGATATACTTAAAAATATTCTCTCTTGTTATCCCATTGATCCAAGAAAATATCCCAGGAATTTTAATATTTTGGCATCCAAATTACATTTCTTAGATTGCCTATTACAGTCATAGCCATACCAAAAAAAATCTGTCAAACCATAAATCTTGTTTTTTGGGTAGAAAGAGTGGTCATGTCTATAAGATACTTTTTTTTTTAAAGATTTTATTTATTTATTTTTGAAAAGATTTTAGTTATTTATTTGACGGGGCGGCGAGGGGGAGAGAGAGAGCACAAGCAGGGGGAGCTGCAGGCAGAGGGAGAAGCAGGCTCCCTGCTGAGCAAGGAGCCCGATGCGGGGCTCGATCCCAGGACCCTGGGATCATGACCTGAGCCAAAGGCAGACGCTGAATGACTGAGCCACCCAGGCATCCCCAGATCTTGTTTATTTGAGAGAGACAGAGCGAGCAAGAGAGAGTGAGCAAGAGAAAGCACAAACAGGGGGAGGGGCAGAGGCAGAGGGAGAAGCAGACTCCCCGCTGATCAGGGAGCCTGACATGGGCCTCAGTCCCAGAACCCCGGGATCACGACCTGAGCCAAAGGCAGACGCTTAACCATCTGAGCCACCCAGGCGCCCTGCGCATCTTTATTAAATACACTAAAGAACAACAGCAACAAGTGTAATGGTGAGATCAACTATTTTTAAGAGGGATTCAAGAGATCAGCCCTATGATGTGTGACTAAGGAGCCTTAGGAACACCCAAATTTAATCAAGATTCCCTGGGAGATGGTGATATTATTCCCTGGAACTGAAAGATCATTGTCATCTGCTGCCTCTGGCCTCTTTTGCAAATAATCAAAAACCCAATGTCACTTAAACTCATAAACTCAGATGCTTATTGCTGAGAGAGCCCTCAGGGGCTCAGAGGGGCATCCCTGTGTTGAGGGAAGTGCCCACGTGCAGCTTTTCTCCTTCTGCCCAGGCACTTTTGAGCCAGGTGGGGGCAGCAGAGCGCAGCCATTTGCTGGGAAGATAACCGCATGGCCTCTAGTTACTCGTTCAGAATTAGGAAAGGGAAACCACATTATGACTTAAACTTTTTTACTGGTCAGAATCCAAAAGATGTCAACATTTCCAGCTGCTACGAATGTACTAGACAAAAGCAAGAAACCATAATTTTGATATCTATGAAAAAGTAGTTTGCAATGAGCTGTTTAGAAAATGTAGAAATTTCATTGTCGAAACCCTTTGAAACCTTTCCGTTTTCTTTTTCTTCCTGTCTCTGTGTCACACTCACTGATATCCGAGGAAGAAGAGTATACAGGGTTGTGGAAGGTATTCCTATTCATGTAGGCATCATATAACCTTAAGTCCTTCGGTGAAAGTAATTCTTGGCAAACATTCCAGGACCATGTATAGGTAGAAAAGGTGTCATAAAAGGACTCATTTTTAGTGTCTATTCCAATCAGATCCCCTCGGATCTTCCGCCAGAGGTTTAGCATGTCTTTCCGGTGCTCAAGGGCAATTCCCAAGTTATAGGCATCAGTAGCTCTCTTCACCTGCAGTGAGAGAACAGACATTTGCAGTAGTTAGCTTAACATATCTTTGACTTATGAACCACAATTCTAGACATCCCAAGAGTTACATTCCCAGGCTAGGTGAAAATCACCGAGTTTATCCATTGGGTGGAACCTCTAGAGGACATGTGAGTTAGGAGTTGATGAACAATCAAAATGTATGATTTGGGAATAATGAGATAAGACATTTATGAGAATATTAAAAACACAGTAAACTAAACCAAGGAGGAAATGTGGGATGGAGATAGTCTCTGGAGATAAAAGGAGTGCCAAGGATGGCACTCAATCCAGCCTAGGGCAGGGAGGGAGAAGATGCTGAGTAGTTCCTCGAGGATTTAACCGGATTGAGGGAGTCAGTGGTAATGGGAAGGTGTTATAGGGAAAGGAGAGAGCATAAACAAAGGCAAAGGTAATAAGCCTCTGGAGTTGGTAGGAGGCACAAGCATGTTGGTAGTGCTAAAATGTCGAGTTTTGAAAGTGAGAGGGAAGGAATGATGCAGGTAAGGCAGGCAAAATGTTGTCTGCTGTAGGGGCCCTTAGATTTGATCTCAGTGAGGCTGAGAGAGCCCTTTACTCAGTGAAAATCAAGCTGTAGTAAGTCACTACTTCTTTCTTTCTTTCTTTTTTTTAAAGCATTCTTATTTATTTATTTATTTATTTAAGATTTTATTTATTCATCTGAGACACAGAGATACAGAAGGAGAGAGAGAGAATGAGCAGGCGGAGAGCAGAGAGAGAGGGAGAAGCAGGCTCCCCGCTGAGCCAGGAGCCCAATGTAGGGCTCCATCCCAGAACCCTGGGATCATGACCTGAGCCGAAGGCAGAGGCTTAACCATCTGAGCCGCTCAGGCGCCCCTGTAAGCCACTATTTCTGATGGAAGTGAGACAAATCTCAGTGTGTGGAGCAGAAAATATAGTTGAGAAATCCTGCCATTGTTGAGAGGGAAAGATTCATTTGCAAGCAGGACAGGGATATAGCTACACCTTCACAATAGATCATTAGCAGCTGCGTGGAGAATGGGTGGAGGGGAGCAGCTGTGAGGCAGGGATAGGAGGTTGGAGTGTGTTGTCCAGGCAAGACCGAATGAGGGCCTCAATTAAGGCAGTAGTGGTAGGATGAAGGGGATGGATTTGAAAAATCTTCAGGAGAACAAGAGTAGCCACAGTTGGTCATAGGTGGATGTGAGGAGTGAGGACAATATATAAATTAGGATGATTCCTCGCCTTCTAGTTTCATCGATGGGGTAGATAGTGGTATCAATACCTGATGTCAAGAAGAATTCCCAAGGGAAGAGCCAGTTTGATGCAGATGATGAGTTTGGTTTGGACATGTACAATTTGATATGCTGAGACAGTGAGGTAAAAATATTCATCAGGCAGTGAGATAAGTCAAAAATACTGGAGAGAAGTCTACACGAGTGACAAATTTAAGAGTTATCAGGATGTAGGTGGCAGCTGAAACAAGGAGGGTAGACTGAGATCATCTGAAGAGTACTTGCCCTAATTGTTCCTTCACTTGACACAGAGATTCCCAATGTTCTGCTGGGTTACAGGTATGCCACCTTACTGATCTTCTCAAGCTTCTTAGCCCTTGGGGCAGCTGCTGCTGTAGACTGGAGGTCTCTGGCTATAAGCAGCCTCCATTTACTCCAGCATGAATATGTGCCATGATGAGACAGAGGTTGGGAGCCCACTCCTCTGTGGCATGAAGTACTGATGACCTACAGTTTCATTTATTCCCATATATTACTACTGTGTATTTCCTTCTCTTCCACCCTCACTCCAAGCTCTAGATCATGGAGGGCAGGAGCTATGTGCCCCCCGTGGCATCCCCTAATCCTAGAACTTTATTAATAATGTATAAATATTTACTAAAAAAATGAATGGATTAGTGCATATAATGGGAAGAGCAGTAGGATGGGACTAGAAAACAAGGAAATATCAAGACTTAAGGGGTGAACATTCAGGAAAGTGAAGTGAGAGGAAGGGACACAGAGCTGCAAGATGTAGTCTTTATAAAGGCTAAGGAAGGAGAAAATGCCAAGGAGAGTTTGATCACTAGTGTCAAATGCAGAAGGGAGGCAGCATGAAATACATACACCTCAGTCTGTCTTTGTGGAGTACAAAAGTTGCTAAGACGTCAGGGCACAAAGTAGATAGGGAGCATAGAGCTGCAGTTAAAAGTGTGGATTCCAGAGCCAAGCTGCTCATGTTTATAATTCTGGCTCTTTTACTTCTGCCTTTAGAGAAGTCAACCTCCCTTGCATATTTGTAAAATGACAATGATAACAGCACCTATCCGGAAGGACTGTTGTGGTAGGTAAATTAATTAATGTCTGTAGAGTACTTCTAGAGTACTGTGCCTGGCACCTAGGAAGTGCACTCAAACTCTTCTTCTTCTTTTAGCTGCTATAATCAAGATGCTTTCACTCATCATGATTCCCTTAGTACACCTGCTCACTGTGACTGCTGGTTTGCTGCCTTAATTAGTTGCTATTTCCAGCACAACACAAACGAAGGTTTGACAGAAACGATGCTGGGTATGGTTCCATGGGTGATTAGCAGGATGAATTATCACAATTAACATTTGAATCCATTTGATCACAGAGCAAGAAGCGTCATTACAATGGGTAAAAATGAAAAATGATCTTGTCTTATTTTAAAGACATAGAGCAGAAAAAATATCTTTGGGATGGTTGTAGTATTGAAGTAGAAAATATTCTGATCAACGCGTTCTGGGAAGGCATGCAACAGTGAATACTCACGTGCTGTTTCATTGCAGCTGCATCCGTCACTGTCCAATTCTGCTTTTTCTTGAGTGTTTGGTCAATGGCTAGGATGTCACTTGGATAGCCTGAGACTGGGTTGATAGGCTTTATATTTGCTGCCTTTATGCACACACACACACACACACACACACAAAGAAGGTTAGTGATATATTTTGGGTTAAATATACAACAAAGACATAATAAACAGAAATATGTCGTATCAGGAAGGGGTTTGTATGTGATTTATAAGGTTATTGCTAAGCCACTTGTCCATTGTTTTGGGGCACCTGGTAGCACCATGTGTAACTGAGCATTTAGCGAATTCTCTCTTATAATGATGAAGCCTACTCAGAAGTGCAGACCAGAAGATGGTTTATGTGTGGAATGGATATGGAGGGTAGAGAAGAGCCGACTCTATCCTCACCAAATTTTCCAAGCCATCACCAAGCACTGAAAAGTGAAGAAGGTGCCCTCCACGGAATACAACCTGTATTACTTCCAAAGTTCCACTGGGGAACCAGCTGTCTATTTTCCCTGTTCCTGGGCTGCTGAACAATGCTGGTGGAAATCACGTAAATATGTGGATTGCTTCTTTGAAAACGTGTAGTACCCAGTCTCATCCAGGCTATTAGTACTGCTTGACCCTACTTTCCTTCATTAGATGCTGTTAATTCTCTTACAGATCTCATAGCTGTCTTCTTAGTGGCTGCTGGAAAACCAGATCTGCACACTCCCTCAGCTAATGATTCTCTCTCCAGGACTAGCTAACATGAATTCTTTTCACTCTTCTCTCCACCTTAGGATTTCTCTCCATTGTGTAGCCTGATTTTTCCTCTTTGCCTCTTCTATGTGAGAGTTTCTTTCTGATTTCCAAGACCAAAGTCTCCCCCCTGTATCTTTATTAATTCCCCTCCTGGACCATTTCCCTTCGATTTTCCTTGTTCCATGGCTGACTTCATGGGTGTGAGACTTGTGCAATCCCATAGGACCAGAAGGACCCTGAATTTGGTTTACTGCTCTGCTGTTGCTGTCTTTAAATTCTTAGTAATTTTTGGACAAGGGGCCCTACATTTCCATTTTGCCCTTGGCTCCACAAATTACGTAGCCAGCCCTGCCTCTCTCCTACATCTTCAGTTTCTCTTCCTTGGCCAGTGGTTGTCAGCTTTGGCTGCATGTTGGAACTTTTAAAAATACCAAAGCCTAAGCCCCATCTCAATATCTGATTTAATTGGATAGGGTTGTGGCCTGGACACACGGTGGTTAAAAGCTCTCCTTGGTGGTTCTGTTGTGCAGCCCGGATTGAGAACCACAGCTCTAAGGGCCCTTCCTCCTGGCTACTAATGTGCTCAAGTTCCCCAGTCCCGAAACAACTTTTTCTAGATTCTGATTCTTCATGATCCATGTCTCTCTTCCTTAACAGGTACAGTTTTTTTGTAAAATGAGCTGATTTCCTTTCCCCCCCGCCTTTGGTCTGCTTCAAATTTCTAGAGATACATGATAAATATCTTCCACTGTGATTATGGATTTGTGTATTCACTTTTTTAGCATGCATGCCTTTAAAACGTCTAAAGTTAATCCTTACAATTCTGTGAATTGTCACCTTATCTGTCAACTTGCTAGGTGCATACAGGTTCAAGATAGATATATCTTCCTGACAATTTAAAAAAATAATTAAATAGCATCTTTATCTTTAGTTATGTTTTCCTTAAATTTTACTTTCCCCATACTAATATATTGATACCAGCTCACTGATTTGTATTTGCCTGATGTATCTTTTCCTGTCCTTTTACTTTCAAACTTTGTGTTGTATTTTAGATGTGTCTCCTTTAAAGAACAGATATCTGAAAATTATTAAAAATCAGTCTCAGTATCCTTTTTTTAGACTTGAAAGATGAACCATTGTCTATTTTTTCTTTTTAATACTTTTTAAATAAACTAGTATGTTTTAATCTTTTATTGTGATTATTGATATATTTGGATTTTCTGCCTATTTTATTTTGCACTTTCTATTTTTCCATGTTTTCTCTTTTTTCTTGTTCCTTCCCCCTTCTATTCAACAGTTATTCATTATAATGATTATTCATTAAATTATTCATGATTCATTTTAGTGATTATCCTCACATTTTTAACACTCATTATAAATTTAACAAAATATAGGAAGCTTTAATTCTGAGTACCAGCCTCCTCATCTCCTGTGTCACTGTGGTGTATAGTATTTTAGTTCTTGTTGATCAGTACTCCCCAAACCAGTAATTCTTCTTTTCTTTTTTTTAATTTTATTTTATTATGTTATATTAATCACCAATACATTACATCATTAGTTTTTGATGCAGTGTTCCATGATTCATTGTTTGCCTATAACACCCAGTGCTCCATTCAATACATGCCCTCTTTAATACCCATCACCAGGTCTTTTCTTTTTTTTTATAAAAGATTAATTTATTGGGATGCCTGGGTGGCTCAGTCGGTTAAGTGTCTGTCTTCAGCTCAGGTCATGATCCTAGGTCCCAGCATCGGGCTCCCTGCTCCATGGGGAGCCCGCTTATCCCTCTGCCTCT